GGTATTCCACTGACCAGGCTGGTTCAGAGAATTGGTCCGGTGAAGGTTGACCAACTGCTGGCTCTCGTCGTATCCGTCACAGATGAGGATGAGTTGACGGTGCAGCTTGATCTCCATGATTTGATCGTCCGAAAAGCTGTGAATCCTCAGCTGTTTGACGACCAGCTCTTGGTCGGGGTGGTCAATGGAGGGAAGATTGATGAAGAGAGGTATAGGGTCGCCTGGTTTGTAATCGGTCCAGAGACGATGCTCGAGATGGCAGTTGAAAGTCGACTTTCCGGCACCAGAGTCACCGAGCACTAGCATCACTTGTCGCTCACCAGCCAAGAACTCTTGCATCTTCTCCATCAGCAAGAATATATCCTCATCTTTGGCCTTTAGACTAGGCTTGGCCATAGGCGGAATGTAGACGTCTTGGTGGCTCTGCTCTAACCCCAGCATGCTGAGCCGATGCAAATCGTACTCGAGTGGTGGGATCTTCTGAACCTTGACGAGTGTCGGTGAGGACGTAGGCAAAGGAAGTCTGTTCCTCAGCAGGTAAGGAAGCTTGGTGGTGGCAGGCTGATCCTGCTGAAGTTCCTTCACCAAGGCAATAGCGCTGCTGCTGACAGCTGCGTCATCAACGATACCTAGTTGGCCATTGATATTCAACATCCATGTCCTGACGCTCTCATCCTCACCCCACAATGGATCGTTCTGGAACAGGTCACCAAGAAGCTCAACGGCTTGCCGGCGAACAGGGGAATCCCAGATGTCATCAGACGCAATCTCGCCTAGCAACTGGCAGATTCCCCATTGAAACAGAGGATCACGGCGACAAGGTGCTTCACAGATCAGGCGGTTGAGATCCTGCAACTGACCAGAGTGAGCAAGAGCATGAGCAGCACGGACAGCGGCATACCAAGGACGTTTCTTGCCAGATCCATATCCCTCCTTCAGACTGTCAAACACACCTCGGCCACTCTCCTTCAGTGAGCAAAAGCCTTCGTACACAGTACCTGCAATTTCAACCGTGCTGCCAACCACCTCCTGCAGCTTGCCAAGTCCCTCAAGAACTGCATCCAGATCCAGCTTCATCACTGCCGAAATCTTGACCAACCCACTTGCAACATCAATGGACTGTCGGAGAACCGCCTGGAGCACAGTCTCATCATCAGGTACATACTGCAGTGCCTGAAACGCATAGCAAGCCTGGTACATCAGGTAGGGGTCCGAGCTACCTGTCAAGCTCGACAGGACTCCAGACAAGGGCTCGTGATCCTCCACGCGGCTCAGGTCCTTGATCTTGTGGTCCGCCATAACATCAAGTAACCTCGAGAGCGCCAACGTAAGATGGTAAGGATGAACAGTCGACTGCTGGTGAGTGTCCTGCAGACGAAGTCGGATTAGACGAAGAATCCTTACCAGGTCGTCAGAGAGGAGCGATTCAGGGGGTGCAGACTGCACCAACTGCACGAGACCTTGGAGGAGATCGACACTCAGAATCACAGAATGGTCAAACGCTGCGATGATGCTGGAGAGTAACGCGCGGTAATGCTCCATGTCCATGACAGGTCCGATGAGGACCATCTCGGCAATCTCGGTCGAGTCCTTGAAGGCGTCCTTGGCAAACTCGTCAACCATACGAGTTCCTAACCAAAAGAGGCGTTCTCGTTCAGTAGGATCTTGCCTCATAACCTTGACCCAGGCCAGGCGAGCAACAGTATCGGATGACAAGTCTTGCGAAGGATCCTGTTGCTGGTCGACGGCGTCGTGAACTTTAGAAAGTAAGCCGATGCACAGGGCAAGTTGAGGGGTGGTGTCGATGCGAGCGCCAAATGCGGGTAAAGGGATGCGCACAGCAGGCGCATTGACGTTCTGTGAGAAGACGTCCAAGCGAAGTTTGGTCAGCAAGGTCGAGGGGTGAACAGTGGACACAGTGCTGTTGACGATGGTGGTGGCGACCGCTTGTTCAATATCAACACTCTCAGGGGTACTGACAATGGAAAGGCGATGAGCAGACACTTCAGTACTGGCAACCGAGGCTCCTTTGATAGAGGACTTTGGGCTGATAGAATCGGTATTCTTGGCCTTGCGCTCATGGTTTGACGATTTGAAGTAGGCAAAGAACTTGTCCCGCTTGCGGATGCGCTGGGAAGAAATAGAACTGTTGTCGTCATTGTGCCTAGTGCTGGGATAGCTTGGTGAGACAGGTTGAGATGGTGGACCGGAAGGAGTGGAGTACGAGTTCCTGGACATGGTTGGTGTGCTATGGCCACTATTATATTACCAATGGCAACGGAATGCGTCAGTGTTTGGTCTCCATTGACATTGCACACGAAGCCAGCTCACTGTATAGGCTGTACTTTACCTTGATAAAAGTGGTTTATCGGTGTGGCAATGGTTGCTAGGCTTGGAGTTCTTGGTTGACGGACGGGAGGAGTTCGGGAAGAAATCTATATGCATGTATGCAATTGATGACGGTAAGTAATTTCGTCCGCGAAGAAAAAGAGCGTACACAGCGAGACCAATGTTACGCATGGCTATTGCACTTACTCGGTGTACGGGAGAGGGAAACAGTGGTTGCTTTGTGCACTTGTATGTGTGCTTTGGTGCTTTTGTGCTTGTGCGTTTTTTTTGTTGCTTTTCTGCTTTGATATTGCTTCCTTGTTGTTTTGTGGTGTTTTGCTGTACTTGACCGATATTTTAGTTAAGGGAGAGGAATAGCAACATATGCTTGACTATGAGTAGAGAAAGTGACAGAACATGGATGTGTTCAATAGAAGGCACGAATTCGTCAGTTTTCCTTGTAGGCAGCTTGTTGTCGACTCGTTGTCAACACACGCTCTCGTTGCCTATATTACCTTGGCTGCTTTGATATGAACTTTTTTTTGTATGCTATTTGGTTGGTTTGGAACGAACTTGACTTTTGGTAGGGTGAGGTGAGGTGGCGAAGGGTCTAGTGTTGCTGTTAGTCGGCAGTTATTAGGTTGTTATACTAGGTGTAAAGGGATCAGTTAACTGCAGCTTTTGTCTGACTGATGGCTGTTGCTGATGATGACTGTCGGGTGTGTGAATGTGAGTGGCTTGATCGGAATCAGAAGTTGGGCTGGTGAACGAAGGTGAAGGAAGAAGATTGTGTTGGGGTGATCGCCAAAGTGAACTGGCGCTGGTGGGTTCTGTGATGCAAGAAAGTAAAGGCGGGGATGAATGAAAGTAGAGGTAGGAGGTGGAGGAGTGTCGAAAGAAGGAGAGGAGTGAGTGCGTGAGATGCTTTTCCTTTGTTGCCTTCTTCTCGGACATCGTGTTCCCCTTTCCTTTCTTCCTTTCTTCCCGTCTACCCAAACAAACAGGGGCGTGGTGCTCACCCTCTTGCACACCTTTTTTTCTTTTTGATTTCCTGCATTAAGCATGTAGGATGGGTTGACAACAAACAACAACAACACAATAGACAGATGGCAACTAGAGAAAGGGCGTCAACAATAAGCAAACGAGTGGCCAGTCAGGTCGCCAGTACCATGGTCAACTACGAGAACAGGAACAGTGTCAAATATAAGAGAAAAGAAATGAAGACAAAATATGTCATGCTAACTAATGCCGACTGATGTGATGGATCGCTAAACACGGTTTCAGATAGAGTTATCGTGGCACTCCGCAACCAATAACGGAAACGAACAAAGGCAACGTCAACAAAAGAGTAGGTAACCCATCTTTGGTTCTCACATTCTTCTATTAGGAAGAATGAACTAATCGACGATTGCGAGTGAACAATCGACCGGATATACTACCCGGATGCAAGGCATGAAAGTTAGAGCATAGATTGATTGCCAAGCGACTGGACCAGAGTTTTTTGTTCTTTCTGTACCAATTTGTCACCTCTCTGCCGCTACGAGTGGCTGTGCAAGATTTATCATTTTTTTTCTATACCACTTGAAGTTTCATCGTCCTCATTTCCACAGAGGCGAAAGTCAACGCGAAATGTTTGATTCTTTGCATGCTCAGGCATCATTTTGAACACCGTGGAAGGTTAAACCTTCTTCTCACACTCTCTTCCACGTTTGCACTGCCCTCTGGGAACCAGCTTTTAGTGACATCTAAAAGAAGCGCCACATCCCCTCAAACATCTTACTCGAGCCTCCTCCTCCTCTCCTCAACCAACACCCCAACCCATTTCAACTATGGTATCCTTCTCAGCCAACATTATCATTCTCGCGGCCTCGGTAGCTGATCTTGTGGCCGTATCCCTTGCCGATCCATCATCAACTAATAACATTCTTTTCCATAAACCACATAGTTCTAGATGGGTTGTTCATTGTCTACATCCATATGATGCCTTTGACGACAAGCAACTTACTTTCTCAACAATACATCCGATCACGGACCCAAAAGACAGGCGTAGAAAGTATATCTGCGAAAAACTTTATTAGCAAACAAGCACGTCGCTCCCTTCTGAAAGCTCTGGACCAAAGTATCTCTTTAATTTCTAAAGACAAGAAAAACGAAAGGAACGTATTAATGAACTGGTACAACACAACCACCGAAAATGATAACCCACCCACCAACAAGGTTAATGGCAAAGAACACAAACGCATTCTAGGCCACCATCGAGACGCCATCGATCGAACACCTTCCTCTTACGCCGCATCACCTACCATGTCGACAATACAGACCGAATGTTCTCGACCCAACTGCTCTATGGGGACACATGATTTTCATCCAGCATTGTCTGCAAAAGAAAAAAAACCCCCAATCTTGTGTAACGGTTGTCCAAGAGCAATTAAAAACAAAAAGACGAAGGAAGAAGAAGCGGAAGAGGAACAAGGGAGAAGGAAGGAGACAAAGAGCGACTTTGGTCCACCTCATCATCTCGTCCCACCTCATCTCGTCCCACCATTCACAATTCATTCTCATCTCCCTCTCTCTCTCTCTCTTCTTCCATTCCTCATCCCTTGCTCTTTCCCCTACCCCTACTTTTCTTTTACACTCTCCCTTTTGTACTCCATCTCCACCTACCTTCAAGAATGAGTACTAATACGACCAAGCCCGTACCCACAGGAGGCTTCAAAGGCAGTGACCTGCCTCCATTGGTGACCGACAGGCCCCCCCGCGTTCTCATCGCCGGCGGTGGTTTGGGAGGACTATTCCTTGGAATTCTCCTCGAGAAAGCAGGAATCCCCTATGAGATCTTTGAGAGGTCGGCCGAGATTAAGCCCCTTGGTAAGGAAGTACCTCTGCACCAGTAATCGAAAGCACAAGTCACGCACGTAAACACACACGACATAACTCACCCCTCTTCCCACTCCCATCCTTTTTTTTATTATGCATACTAGGCGCCATTATGTGCTTGGTAACAATAGGCGTCTATTTCTTTGTGCAACAAAGTTAAGTCCAGGAACCGCTCTAACATGATCTCTCGCTGCACTCCCTAACTTTTCTCGTCTCGTAGACGCCAAATGTCTTCCCTGCTTTTGAACAATTGGGCCTGTACGAAGAACTGTTATCCTTCTCAAAACCTCTGCGAGACGGTGGATCTGTACTGACGGACAAGCTAAAGCTCATCGCTAACTTCAAGTCCATCTCCCCAGAAGTGTAGGCCTCCCAAATTTTATTCTGTCCTTTTTTTTCTCCGCAAGTATTGACCTTTCTCTCTCGTTCATATTATGTGGCTGTATTAATTTATTCTCTCGTATATACATTTAGCATGGGGTACGAACGCCAGCTGTTCCCTCGTCCGGAGCTGCACGAAATGTTGCTCCGCAAGATTCCCACAGAAAAGATGCACCTATCCAAGAAGATCCTCTCCTTCCAGCAGAACCACGAAGGAGTCATGGTTCGATTCAGCGATAACACCACTATCCACGGCGATATCCTTGTCGGAGCCGATGGTGCACACAGTGCCGTTCGTCAACATTTGTACAAGACCTTGGAAAAGCAGGGATTGCTCCCCAAGACTGACAACCAGAGTATGAGGAAGGGGTATATCTCCTTGGTGGGAACGACCAAGGAGTTGGATCCAGAGAGGTACCCGGACGTCTTGAAGGATGATTGTCAGACTTATGGTATCATTGGAGACGGGAACACTCCGTACACTGTAAGTTGAGTCACATTGTCTCGAGGTATAAAATATTATGTCCGTGCGTAAGAGGTTTCTTTTGCTAATTACCTTGTTTTGGTACTGCGCGTCTCAATAAGTGGTGTACATTCACCGTTCCAGGAAACAGGATCTGCTGGAACGTCGTTGTCCAGTTGGGCGTTGCCGAGATCGCCGACGACCAATTCAGGACGTCGGATTGGGTCCCACAGCAGAACCAAAAGATGATGGACTCTATCCGCCACTTCAAGACCACTTATGGAACCATGGGTGACCTTTTCGATTCTACGCCTATTGAAGTGGTCTCCAAGGTGTACTTTGAGGATATGATGTTTGAGACCTGGTACCACGGACGAACCGTCTTGATCGGTGATGGTATGCCCATTTTTTTCTTTTTTGTTTTCTTGTCTGTGCTTTGCTGAACTGTGTCTCGTTCCCCATGTCTAATGCTCTATTTACATTTGCTTTCCTTGCCATTGTTTTTGTAGCTGCACACAAGGTAAAAAGAGGAACTACGGTTCATGGCATTTATTAGTCCATTGTGAGCATTCCCGTCCTAATCACAGTATCAATCATCTATTTTTTTTTGGTCCTCAGCTCCTCCCAAGTACAGGTGCCGGCGCCGTGAACGCAATGCAGGACGCTGTCATCCTCGCTAACCACTTGTATGACATCAAACCAACCAGCTTCGAGAACATCAAAAACGCATTCAAAGGATACAAGGATGAGCGCTACGAAGCTGTCAAGGAACAGTACGCACAAACTCAATTCGCTGCCAAGCTGCAATTCGGCCATGTAAGTTTTTATTTTCTATCAACAACAAACCCCCACGCCCTTGTAATATCTGATGTGTTCTTTGAGCTGAAGTCGAACAAAAACACGTTATTTTGTAAGTATCAGTTTACCAACTGTTTCTTTTTTGTATTTCTCTTCCACCGTATCGGTTTTTTTTTCCTCCCAATGGCCAGACATTCTCGGAGCGAATTATGCGATACATCTTGTTCAATTGGATCCCCAAGTCGATGCAGATTAAGCAAATGTCAAAGGACAATGCCTATCGCCCCCAGGCCAACTTCTTGCCCCAGACACCCAAGCGCGGCAAATTAGACACACTCTCTCAGGATCCTTTAAAGCGCGTCCAAAAGGAGAGAGAGGAGGAGGAGGAGGCTCAGAGAGTGACAGCCGCTGCCCTTTGAATCACCTCCGGGTCATATCACAACATAACTATAAATAAAGTCCAATTGAGTACTAATTTACCACACCAAAAGACAGTTCGAGAAACTAGGGCGCTATCGATTCAGGAACATCATCGATCCAGGAACGCGATCAGCTCAGGAACGATCATTCCGGAAATGTGGTTTCATATCTTAAAAGCTCAGATAAGAATGTGGAACGCATGTATTGTTGTGTCTAGGCCTTTGACAATTTGCTCCGCATAATTTTTAAAAAAAGCAGGGGTTGCTCCTTTTCACCCCTCCATCTTCTATAACCTTGCAGATAGCAATCAAATAACGCAAGCTCCTAGGCATAGCCGCATTAGACTATAGCGTCTCAAGTAGAACTTGGCAAAGAAAAAAAATCAAGATCCTGCCGAGCCTGTACGTACATCGAAGCATTTTATCAAGCACTCGTACAAACAGATCAGATCCTGCAATGTACTTTGATGATAACGACTAAGCTGTGACGAGGGTCCTATGTTATCGTGGGTTCAGAGGGGGGGAGGGGAATGGAGGAAGAAGGGAGGAGGAAGGTGACTGAAAGGAAAAGGATGGTGGCAGGAGGAAGGAAGAAGTGATGGGAGGAAAAAGGTTGGCGCAAAAAATATGACACGACTTACCTTGTGCCACCGCCCAAGAGCTGCTTTCATTCTGTTGTTTGTCTTCTGAGAGTGTGAGAAAGACCTATCGAGTTGAAGGAACAGGTTGCACACGCTGCAAAGTTGAACAGCTTAGTTCATCCTGAGGTTGGCGGCGGTGTCCTCGAATGTTAAGTGGAAATGAAAACGAAGGGATGGACAAGAAGAAACACCAAGAGAATACACACAAAGAGAGAGAGAGAGGTAACAAAAAGCAAAAGTACCTGAGCAGGAAAGAAAATGGAAGAATAAGGGATGGAAGAGCAAGCGACAAGAAAGAGGAAGAGGAGAAGCATGGTTGAAGTGACCGTTGTTTGAAGGAAGAGAAAAGAAGGGGTCAGAGAAAAGAAGGGGTCAGAGAAAACAGAATTTATGGATTTTTTTAATATTTTGAATATCTATCAGCTGATAAGGAGCGCCTTCAGAGGTTCTTTTCCTGCTGCGCCTTCATTCTTTTCTTTACTCCTCCCCAGTTCACCAATCCAGCAAGAAACCTCTGAAACAGCCACCATTACGAACCACAAGACGAGTACTCCTCCTCATTTGCTAATTCTTGACAATCCCCCCTAGATTCAGATCAGAGCGAGCAGATCAGCAACGTGCAGTTTCAGACGAATATATGCCAAACCATCATCTCTAGGGCTTTCATTCATTCCCCAACTCAATTGCTGTAACAAAGACTATCGGCCACAAACCTGAACTGTAATGGGCTACTCGACAGACGATTCTTTCAGCTTATTTACATCAACGAGAGGCGCGCGGATATAGGATACAACGCCGGAAGAACAAATATTCAGCGCCAAGATATAGGAACGTCGCGTGCAAGGTCATTTTTGTTGGATTTTACTGCCGCTCACAAGATGAAAATATATGAAAACAGCCTCCAGCAGCGTCCTAAGATGATTCATTGACATGGAGGCTTTGTCCCTTGAGAAGAGAAGCGATTGAAGGCTTATTAAAACACCCCTCGCACATATATTTTTTTCTAGTTTTTTACTCTATTCTTTTTCCCAATCTTCCAACCTGACGTCAACCCATCTTCTCAACCACCTCTCAGTTTTCTCCACATTCTGCCCCTCACCGGGAAAACTCGCCACCCCTCCCTCACTCGATGCAACAATAACAACAACACCAACAGGAAAAGGTGATGGGTCCATAGATCTACCACCAGAGACCCTAACCCAAATCCTCTCCCACCTCTCAAACCATGACGTAATTCAATGTATCCTTGTCTCTTAAGCTTGGTCCCCCCTCTTCTTAGCTCCCCTCTGACGATCAATCGGCATCTATACACAGCAAAAAGTTGGATACTGCAAACAATAACGATGCCTGAGGCGCCATCATCCGGTTGAAGACATGGAGGCGCAATCGACTTTTCTCATTTCAAGTGATGGATACAAAATGACTACCGGCGAGGTTCAAGTTCGCTGCTGAAGAACGGACATTTGATTCGAAAGTTGAAGACGGAGATCTGTAGTGTAATGGATCTTGTTGTGGAGGCGGATGAGGATGGGTGTGTGAGAGAGTTGGAGGAGGTGATATATTTCTCGGATCCGCTGCTTGGTTGGTCGGATCTAGATGTTGACTATACCCGACCAGAGTTCTTGACGAGTTTTGGGTTGTACCCTTGGCTTTTTAGAGAGGACGACGTGGAAGGGGAATGTTCAGGACCGCCACAGACACCGTTGGTAAAGTCGGCTCCCGTTTAACTCTTTCGAGAGAAATCTAATCTCAAGAGACTCACACTTTTCGGGACAGTGAACCTCCACCAGTCGAAAGATCAGACCAGGAACGATACATTTTCGACGCCTTGATTGTGACTGGCTGGCTGGCTACGATCAAGGAATTCATCACCAACCAGAACAGATTCGAACTCGATTCCGGCCCAACGCCTACAACCACTCCTCCTCGTCCCCTTTCCTTAGGATACTCAATCGACGAGAGCAGGCGTCTTCAGGCGCAGGTCTACAACAAACTCGCACGCCCTCCCCCCTCACCTTCAGGAGCTAATCCTGGACACGAAGCGACACATTTTTGGTAGCCTGCAGTATTGACTTGGACCCTGTGCAATCTAAGAGAATGGGAAGGTCTCAAAGACTATCGTCAACCGGATAGGTTATCAATGACCCTAGCCAGTGGGATGGATGTGCCAAAGAACTCGCGAAAGTTGAAAAGAGTAGCGTTTAGTGGTATCCCTTTCGAATTTGATAATGAGGCAGAGAAGGCGTGGAGGGACGAGCATTGGCCAGAGGGTGGGTGGTGTGATTTTCGGGGGTTGGCTGGTCTGTGTTATTTGGTCTGAAATAAAGTATGAAGGGAGGAATGAAAGTCATAAAAAATCATGGGACGAAGAGGGGGGGTTTTGGCAAAAATGAAAGGGGTTTCAAATATCAATAGGCACGCCAGAGCTTTGCTAGCGATCGAAAGAGATGAAGTGTACTAAGCCGTTGTATACCATGCCACTCGTGTGTCGGTTACCGGGTGTGTTCCGTAACTTCCGTGTATCTTTCTTAATCTCCCTTCCTTTGTATCTTTGCATTCCTGGTGTTACACACTCCGACCATTGATCTCCCGACCATTATACAAACAAACACTTTTCGGCTGAGGATGAATGAATGGGTATATTTTACATGCAACGGTTTCTATCTGCTCTTAGGGGTGAAGATAAGAGTGGGGTAAGAGATGAAATGGGAAAGGGGAGGGAATGTAGGCTAAGTAAGGCTTTTTGGTGGTGGTGGTGGTAATGCTGTTTTGCTGTTGTTGATTTTGTAAAGGGTGGGCGACTAATGTTACGAGAGGTGAAAGGAAAAGAAAAAGAAAAAGAAAAAGAAAAGAATGGGTGCCCCCAAATCACTCTTTGACAGCATTCTGCAGACGAGACGTGAAGGAAGGGAGTGGGATATGAAGATGTACATGAAGCTACAGGTGAAATGAAAAAAAAATGAGAACAAGAAAAAAAACTGAAAATGAAAAGCGAGAGTTCATGACTACAACTTCCTCCCAAAGAGTTCAGAAGCGGTCGGGATCCTCAAAGATCTGTTGGGTCTGGTAAAGTGTCTGTTGGGTGTCGTAGATATTGCTGGTCTGGATAGCCTGCTGGACGGCGCTGTAGGTGCTGCTCCTGTAGGACTGGTGCTTATTGAGCCCGAGCTGCTTGATTGACCAGCGCTGGGAGAGCGACCGCTCAAACTCTGCCAGCTTCCATGACGAAGCAATGCCCTTGAAGATCTTTGAGACCACATCCGCCCTCCAGAGGAGTCCATGGGTGCCGCCTTCGATTACACTAAGTGTACACTGTGGGAGTCGTTGTTCCATCCAATCTACTGCTTCCTTGGAAATCACTGCGTCCTATATTAGTCCAAAGCGAGGTATAAAAGAATATTAAAAGGGAGTCAATTGGTGTGTTTTTTCTCGAGGGAGTAGGGGGCGTGTGGTCGGTGTAGACAAGAAACCCTTTGGACTCTGTCTTCTAACTATTGTCCTTTTGAACATTTTCTCATACAGTGGTCCTTCCATGACATGATCTAGTTTACCTTGGTTCCCCAAAAGACATGGACAGGAAGAGTGACATCCTTGTAGCTGAATCCAAACGAATGGTACAGTTCCAGGCAGACCATCAAATCGTTATTGGCGCCCTCCAGACTCTCGGCCAGATTATCCTGCAACATCGCCTTGACCAATTTCTCGCGATCATAGTTGAGGATATTTGGATCCGATTTGCATGGTGGCTCCTTGGCTGCGACCGAGAGGGATTTGTAGAGAAGACTGGCGGTGCTCTGGGATTTCAAGAGCGTTGTCGGCATGTGCTTGATCCACTTCATCCGCTTGGCGATAGTCAGGTGGACCCAAGGCGACATTAACCACACTGTCCCGACAATCCTGGGTTTGAGTCTAAGGGCGCATGCCATGGCGTAGATGGCTCCGCACGAGTGTCCCATGACCGAGAACTTTTGAATGTTGAATCCGTTTGCCATCTCTTCAACGATCTCTGCCATCCTGAGTGGTGTCCACGACTATTTTGGTGTAATAAGAGGTAGTAACGATGATGGGTCAGAAAACAATATTCCCTTGTTGTAATACATAATAAGCAAGCCCATGCAAGGGTTGGCTCTCGATCGTAGGGGAGGATGTTAACAATGTCCACACAAAGATAATATTTCCTCAGAGCAAAGCAAAGTAATGATCGCGACCAAGTTCAAGAATGGAGATTGAGTCAGTACTTTGTATACCTCTGGATCGGCAGCTTGAGACATGCCTACGCCAGGGCGGTCGATGCAGTAGATCCGGAGAGAGTGCTTGAAGGCGAGATCCTCGAGGATAATAGAGTAGTATCGCATACAGCCCAGACCCAAGCTATTATTAAAAGGCATAACCAAGAGTCGACCACAGGCGCATTAGAAAAACGATCGTACGCACACAGAACGACATCGACACATGTAAAAATAAGACAAAAAAAAAATAGCCGACAAAACGAAGAAAATGACAACAGCACACCCCTAGATGGGGCTGTCCGTAAAAAAAAGGGCACTGACTAAAACAAAGAACAACGTCCACAACAAAAGAACACTCAACAAACACGGTGCTGCGACGTACTCAACAGACCAAACCACAACGCACACACCTCCCTTCCCTCTTCCCCTATCTTTTCTTGTCCTTCCCTCGCAGACACATATACAAGATGGTGGGTTCGTTTAACAACAGATATATCTTACAAGCAAAAGACTGGGTGTCCGCAGGGATGGCCGACCTCTGCAAAGGAGACGAGGCGACCGGAGTAGAGTTCGTAGCGCTGGTTCATATCAACACAGCCGAGGGTTGCTTCGACGTCGGCCATGGTGGGGATGCTATCGAACGACCTGACCGAGGCCGTCTCAGACATTCGCCGGGACATTCTGTAGCGGGTCGATTATCGTAGGTTGTTGTTGTTGTTGGTGTTGTCGGTGTTGTTGGTGTTTGCGCGTCTCGGTGTTGTTGGAGAGGGAGAGGGTTGTGGTTGTAGGTTAAAGGATGAAGTGGTGAACAGTAACTGGGTGTGTCGTATTTCCAGGTGGTTGGTATAGGTAGCGAGGTGGTAGTAAGAGAGAGGGAGGTGGTCAAGGCAATTGAAGTGCTGTCGGGGGGGGGGGGGGGGTGAGGCGAAGGGACGAAGGTGGTTGATTGTAGAGGGGAGAGAGAGAGAGATAGAGAGAGAGATAGAGAGAGAGTGTGTGTGTGTGTTTCAAGCAAGAGGAGACGGGTGCAAGGAATAGCCGAGGAAGAAGACGGAGGGGGGTTGAGACAAAGAGGGTTGAGTTGAGACAACAAAAGTGACTGATGGTTTGAGATGAGAGAAGAGGAAGACAGAAGAGGAAAGAGGAAGGAAGGAGTGAAGGTTAGGTCAGGTCGAAGAGAAGTATGAATGGGAGGAAGGATGAGCAGATGGGCGAAAGTGTAAGTAAAGGTTGAAGGAAGGACGGGAGGAAGAGAAGAAGAAGTGGGAGAAAAAGTGAAGAATTGGATGAATAATGAAGAGTTAAAAAAACAACAAACAACTCAAATAATAATGACAGGAACAGCGCAGGGGGAAAGAAAACAAGGGGGCCGCTAATTGGTCCAATGGGTTAGAAAGGAGTAGAGGGGGTAGGGACGACTATCCGACTTCCGATGGATGAGTGGAAGAAAGAACAAAAAGAGCGAGGGCAGGGGTTACCGCCTGTACTTCTATTGCTGGTATGTTTGTTTTGAGTTGAATGAAAAGATAAAGTGAATGGAATGAATACAAAGGGAGGGATACAAAATCAAACGACAACAACTCTTTTTCTCACTCTCTTCAATTGCTCGTCTGGGGTGAGGAGGGCATAGAAGAAGGGTAAAACGTGGATGGATTCGATAATATCGTGTGGGGGTGGTAGAGATAAGTTTTATAGATTGACACCAGCAGGTACATGTAAGAAATGGTGAGAGAAAGAGAGAGAGAGAGATGAAAAACAAAAAGCAAAAAAACGATGGCACCGTGGACGTCCTTGCTGAAAGATATTATTAGGATCCAAGTAAAACAGGGTTCAACCAACGACAGCTATCCGATCGGGTTGATTAAAAACAGTTTTTCAGTTTATTCATATATAAAGGGTGTGCGCATTCTCTCGTCCTTCTTTTCTTCTCAACAAGACTTGTAGTTGTAGAAGAAAGGACGAAAGAGGACACACAGTAGGAACGGGAATGGGAATGCAGGAAGGCTTGTGAAAATCAAGGAAAGAAAACAACAGAGCACACCATCGCTGTTGTCATCGCCGCCACCATTATTATCATCACTTGTTTCCCGCGGAGGAGAACGACAATTTTTTCTGGGTATGTCCTTCGCTATTGACACAACATTCTCTTTTCAATTGGCTCCCACGCAGGCAACCTGGAACAAAATTGTAGGTTCATCTTCTAGACCATTACCATCGACATGACACACGCTCACTCTTTGTCATCTTGCATTTATTTTCACCCCCTGCCCTCCCCCCTCTCTCCGTTTTTATGAACTGGAAAGGGGTCGAAACAAAGTCGAAACAAAGGCGACATACAATTCTCCTTTGTTGTTATGTTTTGCGCGGGTAACTTGTATGAACGAGAAAACTAAAATAAGAAGAGGTGTCGGCTCTCATGGTCGTACAACAACAACAGGCAATCAAAAACAACGGTGTTCTTCTTGTTCTTTGTTCTAAGGTTTGGTCTGGGGAACTCGCCCCTCACCACATTCTTCACTTTGAGGTTCCTTTCGCACAACAAAATCAATAATTCGCCAAACGGCATTTGAGCCGGCGCACACAGCCAGTCCTCTCTTCACTCCCTAGCTTTCTTCTCCTTCCCTCTCTTTCGCTTTCCCCTTCACCATCCAAATGGGCGTGTGTGAAATATCATCCTTTGGTGGGACGAGATGCTTTTACCTTTTCCCTCTCCCGCATTCCTTGCATGCATCCACCTGTTCACACACCTCTCCATTTTCACATAAACAAAGAGCGGGACAAAAATATTGTTGAACAATTCCTGTTTTTGTGATTCCACATCTAAGGTCTCTGGTAAAGATGCCTGACCAATGCTTCGCCTTTGGTACACAATGGCGTGGTTGTTCTTTGTCAGATACTAAAGAAATAGATCATCTTTCTTTTTTTTTTTCTCGTCTCCTTGTTTGAAAAAAAAAAAGACGATCTGAGAGATCTAGTTGTCCACACACATAGCACAAAAGAGGAGTAAAATAACAATAATACTTTGCCCAATGAGAGTCGCATGGTTGCGAGCATGGCGACAATGAGGGGTCCAGATGTCCATAACAATAAGATTTTTTTATTTGTTGAAAGGCTCATCAACGTTTCATATTGAAAAAATAGTATTACACACGCCTCCCTTACCCCATTGGCATTGGCATAATTAGCACTGGAGTCGGCATAGCATTAGCATGAAGTAGGGGAGGGACACCATCCGGTTGAGTTCAGACCCACCTTGCATGCTCCCCCACCCCCCTTCTCTCCTCCCCCCTGCCTCTCCGTGTTGCTCTCTTTTTTTCCTCGGGCTATGCATTGACTCGCCCATTTACCGCAGGATGTGGTCGGATCTTGGACAGAAAAGAAGAAACAGGGGTGCATGATGTAGCAAGGCTAGCATACGAAAAGGACGGAGGGGGAGTAAAGCATAAGGACAGTACATCTCAGGATGATGCTCCTGCCATTGCTCTGTTGTGTTGGTTGTCCAAGTGCAGGTGCCAATGGCAATGTGTGTGTGATAGTGGGCGTGTCCGTCCCCTGCATCATCATCACCACCACTTCAGCACCATTGGTTTTCCCTTCTGCTATGTTTCCCTCCAACCCCCCTTATTATTTTCTTGTCCTTTGGCGCGCAAGTCAATGTAAGCCCTTTCCACATCCCCACATGCACAGACGGCTGTCGCCCCTTTTATGTTGTCCGACTACGCATCGAATGGTTGTTGGGTGTAGGGTTTGAGAGGGAAAGAGGTAAAGGAAGTAGATCTGTCGCTAAAAGGGGCCGTGGTACAACAGAAGATAAGCGAAGCAGTGCGTAGAAGTTCAAGGGAGCAAAGCGCTGAAGCGATAGAGTAGATTAACTAGGACAGACAGGACACGCTCTTGTCTCCTCTTCGTGCCTTCGTGCTAGAAGTGACCGATCACAGAGTGTGCCAGGCCACGTAGGCTCGGTTCAAATAGCACCCTGCATTGGTATTTGTCAACTTGTTGAGTCAAGGCCAACGCACGTCTTTCGCTAAACCACAAGCAAGTAATGTCTATAGTCATCTCCAAGCAGGCAACCCGACCAACCAACTGTTCAACTTCCTCCGATCGCTCTTTACACAAGACGTACAGCCCCGAAGGTAAAGAAAAGAGGCCGAGAGAGACAAACAGCGACCAATGCACCTCTCCCCACAACCTTCGGCTCGTAGATTTTGAATCGGCTGGCAACAGCAGTTTCCGTGTGCTGTCTGTACTTTAAGAGGGACAAACGAAAAAAATAATACACTCGCCGTCCGCATTCATTCCCCTTTCCGTCCCGTTACTGAATCTCAAGCTCACTTTCTCTTTCCCCCCTCTCTTCATCACTCGTTTGTCTCCCATTCACCCAAAGTCGAACTCATTCTCATTCCCCTCCCTCCCGCGATCCAACAAATGTCGCCTTCCCCACAAATCAGCATCTCCGGCTGTGGTGTTATCCAAGGAACACAGACAGAGACCCAGCCCTCGGTCACAAAGTTCCTCAACATCCCCTATGCCACCGTCCCTGAGCGTTGGCGTCCTGCTGTCAAGGCAACCCCCTGGACCGGTGTCCGTGATGCTACCGTTCAGGGGTAAACTCACTCATTCCACTCTTTGAATCACTCAGGGCTGCATTCATTTACACCTCCTGTTATGAGCACAAGTAGCTAACTACAGTTGTTACATTATTCGAAAAAAAACATAGCCCAGTTTGCCACCAACCTTCAAGCGAGAACCCATTGGTGAGCATGAACGCGAGCGCTGCCGACGAGGACGACGAAGTCGAGTATTCCAAGGTCTATAGCGAGGAGCACTGCCTCAACCTCAACGTCTTTGCCCCCCACGACAGGTTGAACAACAAGTTCAAGCCATTGATCCCTGTCATGGTCTGGATCCACGGAGGCGGATACAAGGACGGCAGCAACGGTATGAGTCTCTACGATGCCACCAACATGGTCGCCCATTCTGTCAAGGGTATTGGTCGCCCTGTGATTGTCGTTACTATCAACTACCGTCTCAACTACTTTGGGTTCCTCTCGTCGATCGAGTTGGTCCAGGATGTTCAATCGGACAAGCGTCTCTCGGACAGGAATGGCGAAAAGTCTGTTGGTAACTGGGGTCTTTTGGACCAGAAGATCGCCCTGGAATGGGTCCGAGATCACATCGAGGCTTTTGGAGGCAATCCCAAGGATGTGACCGTGTTTGGAGAGTCTGCCGGAGCGGCATCGATCGCATACCATCTCGCCATCCCAACCCATCATGGTCTCTTCCAACGGGCGATCCTTCAGTCGGGAGCTGCAACGACCATGATTGCTGGACGACCTGATATGGAGGGTCAACGCTATTTCAACCACCTCTGTCAACACTTCAAGCTGAACGACTCTGGACTGACAGAAGCACAAAAGATTGAGGAATTAAGAAAGGTCTCTGCCAAGGATCTCGTTAAGGCCGCCAACAACGGCAAGGTCGGCATGTTTATCCCGACCATCGACAATGTCCTTATTCACAGCGACCCCCGTGGGTGGGTTCACGACGGCGCACGCTACGACCCCAACGTCAAGGCTGTGATGCTAGGAGACTGCCGTGATGAAGGGCGGATGTTTGTGCCGACATTGGGAGCCAAGAACCTGAAGCGGTGGCCTCGGTTCTTTGCAAGGAACTGCCCTCCAGGTCAGGAGAAGGAATTTGAGGCCATCTATGGAACCCCCAAGACAGATGCAGAGGCTGCAAGCATCTCGGCGATTGTGCTGAGCGACTCGGTGTTCTTGTATCCCATCCATGCGACCAGTCGTGCCCTGTTGGCTAGTCAGCCTCAGTTGGAGATGTCTCGTTACCATTTCGATCACCCCTTGCAGGTTGTTGAGGAGATGGAGTTGGGATTGGGCGCTCACCATGCTGCCGAGCTGCCGTTTATCTTTGGATCAGACACCTACCAAGAGCTATTTTCGGACGCCGAGAAGGAGCTGTCGTTCAGAGTGATGGAGGTATGGATCTTATTTGCTTGGGGTGAGACGAGTCGTCAGCATGGACTTAAACATGGTCAGGACTCGTTGCTGCCCTCGGACGTTGGCGTAGGAGGACAGAGGAAGGAGGCTGTTGTGTTTACGGAAGAGTGTACGGTTGAGAAGAAGCTTGTCGAGCGATTGGATGCTAGGACGTTGGCGTTCTGGAGGCAGAGCGAGTTATGGCTGAAGGCTAAACGCGAGGAACAGTATAAGCAGCGCCAGAGCAGCCAGGGCCAGGCTAAACTCTAGTTCTAGCCCTCACTTTGTCTCAATTGATAGTGAAGATACCACAACGGACAACCTAACTGGTGATTAAAAAACTATACCCTAGTGCCTCTTCTTTGATTGTAATGTTTGTTGTTGTTTATTTTCGTTTATAATCGTTATCCAGACGCGGCAAGGCTACTGCGGTAGGGATGATAGAGGGGATGTTTCTGCGTGATACTATGGGTAGGTATGTAAACGTGAGAAGGAAAAAAAGGAAAAAAAAGGAAAAAAGGGAAAAAAGGGAAAAAAGGGAGAAAAGGGAGAAATGGGAGAAATGGGCAAAAAGGAAACGATCGAGAGAGCAGATTAGCCAGTTTATTTTTCCGGATGAGGGAAGAAGTGGATGTTTATCCTGATCATTCTTGTTTTTGTTTGGGTTTTCTCTTCTTCTTGCCCTTGTTTTGGACCCGACAAAGTAGAAACGCGGACAAAGAAGAGTAGCTATCACGATAACGAATTATTTGACGCTTGTAAGGGTGGCGACTAGAGGTGGTGATGCAAAAAAGGGCTCATGGCTCTTCCTTTGGAGGCGTACGTAGTCGGTTTTCTTGGGTTCGTATGCTGGCGAAGGAAATATTTCACACGCTCACCACAAGGAAGTAGCAAAGAGAAAAAAAGGACTTTTGGACAAAGGGCGCCGGCTGTCTGCTCTCTCCCCCCCCCCCCTGCATTGTGGAATTAATATAAAATAGTCCCTGTCTGTCACTTTGCTTCTTGTCTCTTTACTTTTCTTCTTTCATCTCTTTCTCCATCACACCTTGTCTGTTGCATTCATCATCAGCAACACTCATCAGCTCACCCCTCACTCTCTCAAACAACAAGCACATAAAAACAATGGAATATCGCTACCTCGGAAACAGCGGCCTCATGGTCTCGGCTCTCTCCCTCGGGGGCTGGGTCACCTATGGCAAGTCTTTTTATTCCATTCTCCACAAGGCTGTGGCCCCTCTCTCCTTCTCACAACTCTTTTTTTTTTTTTTGTATCTCTCTGCTAACATCTCACCCGCCTGTTGTTTACTTATTTTTTATTCTTGCAGGTGGACAAGTGAGCCCTGAGATTGCCCAAAAGTGCATGAAGGCCGCCTTTGACCTGGGCATCAACTTTTTCGATACCGCCGAGGTAACACACACTTGCACAGAGACACAACTCCTTTTTCTTTATTTGTACTTTCCTCTTTCATCCACTGACATCAACATCTTATTTCAATCATCCATCTATCATAGGTCTACGCGGGAGGACAATGCGAGATCGATATGGGAGTCGCGATCCGCAAGTTTGGCTGGGCCCGTTCAGACCTCGTCATCTCCACAAAGCTCTTCTGGGGCGGCAAGGGCCGTAACGAACGCGGACTCTCTCGCAAACACATCATCGAGGGCACCGATGCGTGTTTGAAGCGTCTGCAGCTGGACTATGTCGATCTGTTGTATGCCCATCGTCCAGATCCAGACACCCCTATGGAAGAGATTGTCCGGGCGTTTAACCATGTTATTAACCAGGGCAAGGCGTTCTATTGGGGCACTTCTGAGTGGAGTGCTCAGCAGATCACGGAGGCGCATGCTGTTGCTGGTCGCTTGAACTTGATTGCTCCCCTGGTAAGTCCTACTTTTCTTTGTGAATACACGTCAGCCTTGCAATAGGGTTATGCCTTGGTGTTCTTTTGTGAGAAGAGAACCAAGACTGAGATTCAAATAATTAATCGCGCATTTTCTTCCCACTTCTCTTGGGGCCATTGCATATCGGTCATGTAGATGGAGCAGCCACAGTACAACATGTTCCACAGAGACCGCGTCGAGAAGGAGTACCTTCCCCTCTTCAAGAACTACAAGATGGGCGCTACCATCTGGTCCCCCTTGGCCTCAGGTCTCCTCTCGGGCAAGTACAACGAGGGCATCCCCGGCGACAGTCGTCTGGCCCTTCAGGACAATGCGGTGATGAAGCGACTCCGGGACGCGCTCGACACGGAGGATGGACGGGTCAAGATCACCAAGGTCAAGAAGCTTGCCAATATTGCCAAGCAATTGGACTGCACGACTTCTCAATTGGCCTTGGCCTGGTGTTTGAAGAACCCCAACATCTCGTCGGTGATTACGGGTGCTTCCAAGCCCTCGCAACTTGAAGAGAATGTCAAGGCTTTGGGGATTGTTCCCTTGTTGACGGAGGAGATTATGGCGAGTTTGGAGGATATCCTTGCCAACAAGCCTGCCCTTGACTACAACTTCCGTAGTTCGTAGTTCTGTTTGTTTTGTTTGGAGTTGGTGAGACCGTGAAATGAAATACATGATCTCTAGACACAACTACTGTACAACAGGAGAGAGTTGCTGTTTGTTGTTTGTTATGTTCCTTGCATGCTGCTGTTGTTGCTCGCATGGGTCGCTTTTACCAGGGCCACGTCACACGAAAATGGTCTCTTAGTGATGAGAAGGAAAAAGGGGCCAGAGGTAAAGAGAAGAGTAGGGACCATTTGAATCCTGAACCCGTTTCGACTGCAACACTGTCTCTTTTGTCTCACCCCTTCACTGCCTCCCCTTTCCTCACCTTCCCATACTTTCTTTTTTTCACACACACACACCGTCTTGCTCCTTCTCCCTCTCTCATTTCTTTTCTCTCCTTTCCCTTCCTCCACACATACACCCACGACAAGTTGTCCCCGACATTACTACCCAGGAACCCCATCAGGACACCACCACCACCACCCAAACTCCAACAACCCAGCAAGCTTTCAGGAATGACTCGAACTCGGAGAACGTCACCACTAACAGCAACCGGCTTCCTGGCGATGTTCACGACCACCATTATTTTATTGTCGCTGTTGTTCTCGTCGATCGCAGAGGCGACGGCTTTGACCTACAATGTAGGAGCTCATGAGCGGGCCTGTTTCTACGCCTGGGCTGATGTTCCTAAGAAGAAACTTGCCTTCTACTTTGCCGTAAGTTTTCATGACATTTCTTATTTACAACGATGGGTTCGGGATGATTGTGTGTGTGTGAATGTCGACAGCCGGACAGAAGAGCGGAGAGAGAAGATAGGACAAAAGGAAGGCTGTCTTTTTTTTTTCTATCAACGACATGAACTTAATTGCTGTTACGCTCTACATCCCTTCTATACCTCTGTAAAAACAACAAAACCCAACACATAGGTTCAATCGGGAGGATCATTCGATATTGACGTCGATGTCCGCGACCCCAACCAAAAGCAAATGCTCTCCCTCGAAAAAGAACGCCAAGGCGACTTTGTCTTCACGGCTAACGAAATCGGCGAATACTCCTTCTGTTTCTCCAACGACATGTCGACCTTTGCCGAAAAAGTCGTCGATTTCGAAATCACCATCGAGAACGAAAAACGCACCGCCTCGCTTTCCCAGGCCGAAAAGGAAAAGTCCAAGGGACCCCAGGCACAGACGGATGCGATGGATGAGTCGTTGTTTAGGTTGACGGGGGAGTTGTCGAGGATTGATAGGATGCAGAAGCATTTCCGGACGAGGGAGAATCGGAATTTTTCGACAGTGATCTCGACAGAGTCGAGGATCTTTTGGTTCTCGCTGGTGGAGAGTGTGATGATTGTTGGGATGGCGATGGTGCAGGTTTATGTGGTGAGGACTTTTTTTAGTGGGTCCAGACGGACTCATGTCTGAGGGCGGTCGATGGGTTGGACTGGCTGGTTGATTGGTTGGAAAGGTGTTGGTTGGGGAGGTTCAGGAGAGTACGGTGGAGTGGCGGAGGAGGAGCAGTGAATGTGGATTGTTAAAGGCAGAGAGGTCGATTCTGGTCACATTCGACCACTTGTTCCTTCTAAGGCAATCTCTATCAGGAAGGCAAACATGAATAAACATAGGTTCACTCTTTCGCGAATGGATGTGGTTATCAGTAACTGAGACTAAGAAGCATTGGCCATCACTGACATCCAAACAAGAAAAAAAATCCCTTCTACAGTTTGATCGCCAAAAACAGTTTCCAGGCTGGAGGTGCATGCACGTCCAATTGACCCACAACCTTGTTTTCATTCTCTATGTTGCAGCATGCATGCACAGCTAGTGAAGAGGAGTAGACAAAGAGTATGCCTAGATTGGATTGTTGCCTCGAGTAGGGGAGAGAGAAAACAACAACGTAGGATATATGGAACACAACCGATCAAGCCCGCGAAAAGAACTGTTGCCGTTCTCTAGGCTCATCTTGCTGCTCCCGTGGCCATGCGAGAAAGAAAAAAAAAACCCTCGGTAGAAAGCGTGTGTTCTGTTTGTCTAGCGGGACGACGCCAAGGAATAGGCGTTCTACGGAAATTTGCCTTGTCACGTCATGGGAGGGATCTGTCGGGCGTTTGCATAATGGATGGCTCAATGGGCGTAGGTTATGATTCAGCGTTGAGATATGAACGATGTCTTTGTGTTTTTGTTTGTGTTTGTGTTTTGCGACACGCCATATGAATGTCGTTTCCCTGTGTGGTAAGACAGACAATTTGTCCCTTTGACATACCCACCCTTTTTTTTCTTCGGCGGTTAGCTCGCGTGTACTTTTACACATAATCATTCATGGGTCTCAATAAATAACAACCGCCTGGATGCTTCATCACAAAAAAAAACGGCACTGTTTGGTTTGCTTTTACTTCAAGTAACAGCCCGACGACGAAGAACGACGAGAACAAGAAAGACATGTTACTCACACTATGAAGAAGCGGGACTTGACGCCAAAACGCGCATCCTGAATCACAAAGACCACCTTTGTGTCATTTGAAGACACGAAAGCAATACCCACTTTGGATGCCGCCTTTTTTTTCTCCCATTCTTTTCTCGTTATTTTCTCTTACATTCCCTTTGTGGTTTCTCTCTTCGTACCTTCCTCCAAAGATCGTGGGATCCAGATGAAAGAAGACGCGTTTGATTGAGATAAATAGCAACAGCGATTGATCGTTTTCGCGTGCAACCAACACAAGCGCGTTAACACCAATTACATTTTTGTTGACACCGCCTTTGTTCGTTTCCGTTACCGGAGTGCCTCGATAAGTTTGTCTAAAACCACGTTATGGCGATACATTGGCAACTTTTCTCATTGTATGACACTGTTCCTCGTGGTTGACCATGGTACTGGCGGCCTGACTGGTCCTTCGATTTCTTGTTTTCTTGTTGGATGATACCCTTTCTCCAGCTGCCATCTGTCTGTTGTGTTGTTGTTGTTGTTGTTGTTGTTGTTGTTGTTGTTGTTGTTGTTGTTGTTGTCACGTCTTACAAGCATAATGCGCAAGAGGGTGAGTACCACACCCTTGTTTGTTTGGGAAGACGGGTAGACGGGAAGAAAGGAAAAGGAAACATGGTGTCCGAGAAGGCACGCACATCGTTGACTTTACTCTTTCTCTCTCGCTCTTCTCACTCTTTCGTTTCTCTTGTTCGACTTTTGACTTCCTCAACCCGACTTCTTCCCTTCTCTTCCTTCGACACTCCTCCACCTCACAGCTCCTCTTTCCCTAGTTCCTCACCTTTACTTTCCCACATCACAGAATCCACCAGCCTCAGGTCACTTCGGTGATCACCCCAATTCAGCATTTTTCTGTCACCTTCGTTTACCAGCCCAACTTCTGATTCCGGCCAAGCTACTTACATTCACACACTCAACAGTCATCATCAGCAACATTCATCAGTTAGACAAAAGTTGTAATCAACTCAACTGATCACTTTGCATCTAGCATAACAACCCAACAACCGCGAACTTGATACAGCACCAGACCCTTCGCCACCTCACCTCACCCTGCCAAAGACAAAAAAAAAGTTAATACCAGGGCAGCCAAGGTAACGAGAGCGTGTATTGACCACAAGCTGACGACAGGCTGCTAATAAGGAAAACTGTCCAATTCGTGTCTTCAATTGAACGCGTCCATGTTTTGTCACTTTCTCTACTCATAGTCGAGTATTCGTTGCTCTCCCTCTGCCTCAACTAAAATATCGACCAAGTACAGCAAAACAACACAAAAGCAATATCAAAGCACAAAAACAACAAAAAAGCGCGCAAGCACAAAAGCGCCAAAGCAAAACACAAGAGCGCAAGCAAACCCCTGTTTCCCTTTCCCGTACACCGAGTAAGTGCAATAGCCATGCGTCACTCTTTTTTTCCGCGGATAAAAACACTAACCGTCGCCAATTGCATGCATGCATATAGATTTCTTCCCGAGCTTCTCCCGTCCGTCAACCAAGAACTCCAAGCCTAGCAACCATCGCCACATCAATAAATCACTCTCATCAAGGTAAAGAACAGCCTACACAGTGAGCTGGCTTGGTGTGCATGATAATGGGCACCAAACACTAACGCATTCCGTTGCCATTGGTAATACAATAACGACCATAGTACACCCACCATGTCCATGAACTCGCGCTCGACCCCTTCTGGACAACCATCTCAACCTCTCTCGCCAGTTCGCCCCAACGCAGGACACGACGACGACAACAATTCTGTCTCTTCCCAGCGAATCCGCAAGCGGGACAAGATCTTTAACCTCTTCCGGTCGTCCAGTCAAGAGCACAAGGCCAAGAATACCGGTTCTACAAGTCCCAAGTCCTCCATCAAAGGAGCCTCAGCTGCCAGTACTGAGCTGTCTGTTCATCACTTTTCCACTGTCAGCACCCCTGAGAGTGTTGACATTGAACAAGCGGTCTCCACCACCGCCGTCAAGAGTACTCCCTCCATTGTTCACCCCTCTACTTTGCTGACCAAACCTCGCCTGGACGTCTTCTCACAGAACGTCAATGCGCCTGCTGTGCGCATCCCTTTGCCCGCATTTGGCGCTCGCATCGATACCACCCCTCAGCTTGCCCTGTGCATAGGCTTGCTTTCTAAAGTTCACGACGCCGTCGGCCAGCGAAAGGATCCTTCTCAAGACTTGCCATCCGACACTGCTGCTCGCCTGGCCTGGGTCAAGGCTATGAAGCAGGATCCTACTGAGCGAGAACGCCTCTTTTGGTTAGGAACTCGTATGGTTGACGAGTTTGCCAAGGATGCCTTCAAGGATTCGACCGAGATTGCCGAGATGGTCCTCATTGGACCTGTTATGAACATGGAACATTACCGTGGGTTACTCTCCAGCATCATCGCAGCGTTTGACCATTCTGTGATTCTGAGTGTCGATCTCCTCCAAGGTCTCGTGCAGTTGGTGCAGTCTGCACCCCCTGAATCCCTCCTCTCTGATGACCTGGTCAAGATTCTTCGTCTACTCCGGCTTCGTCTGCAGGACACTCACCAACAGTCGACAGTCCACCCTTTCCATCTCACGTTGGCACTCTCGAGGGTACTTGATGTTATGGCGGACCACAAGGTCAAGGACCTGAGCCGTGTGGAGGAGCGCGAGCCCTTGTCCGGAGTCTTGTCGAGTTTGACAGGTAGCTCGGACCCCTACCTGATGTACCAGGCTTGCTATGCGTTTCAGGCACTGCAGTATGTGCCTGATGATGAGACTGTGCTCCAGGCGGTTCTCCGACAGTCTATTGGGGTTGCAGGTGGGTTGGTCAAGATTTCGGCAGTGATGAAGCTGGATGTGGGCGCAGTTCTTGAAGGACTTGACAAGCTACAGGAGGCGATTGGCAGCACGGTCGAAATTGCAGGTACTTTGTACGAAGGGTTTTGCTCACTGAAGGAGAGTGGCCGAGGTGTGTTTGACAGTCTGAAGGAGGGATATGGATCTGGCAAGAAACGTCCTTGGTATGCCGCTGTCCGTGCTGCTCATGCTCTTGCTCACTCTGGTCAGTTACATGATCTCAACCGCCTGATCTGTATGGCACCTTGTCGCCGTGATCCTCTGTTCCAATGGGGAATCTGCCAGTTGCTAGGCGAGATTGCGTCTGATGATATCTGGGATTCCCCTGTTCGCCAGCAAGCCGTTGAGCTGCTTGGTGATCTGTTCCAGAACGATCCATTGTGGGGTGAGGATGAGAGCGTCAGGACCTGGATGTTGAACATCAGTGGCCAACTCGGTGCTGTTGATGACGCAGCTGTCAGCAGCAGCGCTATTGCCTTGGTGAAGGAACTTCAGCAAGTTCAGCCTGCCACCACCAAGCTTCCTTACCCGCTGAGGAACCGACTTCCTTTGCCCACGTCCTCACCAACACTCGTCAAAGTTCAGAAGATCCCACCACTCGAGTACGATTTGCACCGGCTCCGCATGTTGAGGTTGAAGCAGAGCCACCAAGACGTCTACATCCCGCCTATGGCCAAGCCTAGTCTAAAGGCCAAAGATGAGGATATATTCTTGCTGATGGAGAAGATGCAAGAGTTCTTGGCTGGTGAGCGACAAGTGATGCTGGTGCTCGGTGACTCTGGTGCCGGAAAGTCGACTTTCAACTGCCATCTCGAGCATCGTCTCTGGACCGATTACAAACCAGGTGACCCTATACCTCTCTTCATCAATCTTCCCTCCATTGACCACCCCGACCAAGAGCTGGTCGTCAAACAGCTGAGGATTCACAGCTTTTCGGACGATCAAATCATGGAGATCAAGCTGCACCGTCAACTCATCCTCATCTGTGACGGATACGACGAGAGCCAGCAGTTGGTCAACCTTCACCGGACCAATTCTCTGAACCAGCCTGGTCAGTGGAATACCAAGATGGTCATCAGCTGCCGCACCCAGTTCCTTGGGCCTGAGTACCACAGCCGTTTTATGCCGCAAAGTGAAGGTGGTCACTACGACCGCCCTGCTCCTCACCTTTTCCAAGAGGCTGTCATCGCTCCGTTCTCCAAGGCTCAAATCGAGAACTATGTCGAGCAGTATGTCCCCTTGGAGCCAAGGACGTGGGACACAAAGGACTACATGGACAGGCTCACCACGATTCCCAACCTACTTGATCTGGTCAGGAATCCCTTCCTCTTGTCGTTGTCGCTGGAGGCACTGCCAGGCGTGACTGAGGGCAAGCAGGATCTGTCGACGATCGAGATCACGCGAGCCCACCTCTATGACACCTTCGTCAACCATTGGCTTGATGTGAACAAGCGACGGCTGGAGAGGAACAATGCCTTGTCGATGGAAGACCGCGACATGCTAAACCAACTGGTCAGTGCGGGTTTTAATTCTCTGGGTCTCGACTACGCTACCAAACTGGCACGAGCTATCTTTGACCGGCAGGAAGGAAAGCCAGTGGTCAAGTATGTCCATTTGAGCGACAAAAACACATGGAAAGCTGAGTTCTTTGGTCCACAGCCAGAGATCCGACTGTTGCGGGAGTCGTCGCCATTGACCCGTGCAGGCAACCAGTTCCGATTTGTGCATCGCTCAATGCTCGAATACTTTCTCTCTCGAGCCATCTACGACCCGATCAAGGCTGACAACGAGGATGATGAAGAAGATGACGCCGAATCCGACGAATGTTGTAGTCGTTCGTTATTTGATGTCAAGGGCCCTTTGTTCCGACGAAACCTGCTCCCTGAGTCGTCTATCATCCAGTTCCTGTGCGATCGCGTGAAGTCGAACCCTGATTTTGAACATCAACTCCGTGCCGTTATCGACCTGTCCAAGACCGACGAAAGTGCAGCCATCGCCGCAACCAACGCAATCACAATCCTGGTCCGAGCCGGCGTGTTATTCAACGGTGCCGACCTTCGCGGGGTCAATATTCCTGGAGCCGACCTAACCGAGGGCCAATTCGACTCTGCGCAGTTCCAAGGAGCCAACCTGACGGGAGCCGATTTATCGAGGAGCTGGTTGCGGCAGGCGGATCTGAGCGGGGCGCAGCTGAAGGACGTTCGGTTTGGGGAGTTGGCCTATCTTGAGATGGAGAGCGAAGTGATGTTCTGCACCTACTCGCCTGACGGGACGATGCTTGCTGCGGGGCTTGGGGAGGATGGTGTCGATGTTTATAGCACCACCTCATGGACAAGAGTTCTGCAGATTCGAGACATTGGGTTAGTTTTCAGCGTTGTATTCTCACCTGACAGCCAACAAATTGCGTTCGGTGGCAAAGATCAGACTGTACGAGTGTGGGATGTCACGAGCGACGAGGAATTGCTGGCTATGAAGGGGCACACCGAAGTCATATATTCGGTGGACTATTCACCTTGTGGCAAGCTGATCGCATCGGCCGGTTACGAGAAAACAGTGCGACTGTGGAGCTCGCAGACTGGAGAGTGTCTCCTTGTCCTGGAGGATCATACGAGAGGTGTCATGGGTGTCAAGTTTTCCTCAGATGGTCGACAGCTCGTATCGGTGGATGGGGAAGCGATTATTCGGTTCTGGGATGCGGAGACAGGAGAGCTGGTGCGTGAGTTTGACGCCCCGTTTGAAATCAATATGTGTCGTGCCTATTCTCCTGATGGCAAGTGGATTGCCTTCACCCAAGGCCGCTCTTTGCAGCTTTGGGATGCGGTCTCCTATGAGCCAGGGCCAGCCCTACAGGGCCACACTAGTGACGTCAAAGGAGTCGCATTCTCTCCAAACGGCCAATGGATCGCCTCTGCCAGCGAAGACAAGACCGTGAGACTTTGGGATGCATCGACTGGGACCCCTACTCTCGTTTTGTTTGGTCACAACGAAACCGTGCGAAGCGTTGCCTTCTCTCCAAATGGTCTTCGAATTGCATCGGGAGGTTTCGATAAGAAAGTTCGCCTGTGGGATCTGAGCTCTAGCTGGTCTAGCGTTGAGCCGGAGGGACATCGAGTCGATCGGTTATTCAAGGCGGCTTACTCTTTTGACGGGCTTTCGATTCTGGGCGCCAGTGACCGCAGCGTGCAACAATGGGATTCAGCGACAGGACGATCTCTGCCGAACGCGTTTCAGTTTCCGGAACTAGTTTCGGTGAGAGATGTGGATTTTTACCCGGAACTACTTTCGGTGAGGAATGTGGATTTTTCACCTGATGGCAATCAGATAGCGGCCGTCGTTGAAAACAGTTATGTCCAAGTATGGGACCTCCTAACCTGTGCAGCAGGATCTGTCTTCAAAGTTGAACAGTTCGCTCTCACCATTGTCGCCTATTCGCCTTGTGGTCGATGGGTTGCTGCTTGGGGCTGGAAGGCCAGTATTTGGCTGTGGGATCTTCATGACACCACCGTCAAGGAGCATCATGTTATCATTGACATCGAGAATAACGGAGGCTTTGGCCGTAGCACCGTGACCTTCTCGTCCGCCGGACACCAGCTTGCGATTGGTTTTTCCGATGGCTCCGTTCGTGTTTTCGATCCTCAGTCAGGAAACCTTTTGTCGTCCTTGCAGCTGGAGCAAGAAGCCGTCGGGGCGCTGGCATATTCTCCTATCGGCCAGCAACTAGCCGTCGGCGGCGGCAATGGCTCGATATATCTCTGGGACGGTCAATCGCAGGAGCCTAGTATCCAGTTGGATGGACACAATGCAAGAATCTTCTCCGTCGCCTATTCACCTTGCGGTCAGTGGATCGCTTCCGGCGGCGGAGACAGGACGGTCCGATTGTGGGGTCGATGGCAAGAAGGCGAGTTGGAGTATTGGCAGAGTAAATGCGTGGTCCGTGGATTTTTCGTCGATATTCTCAATATTTCTTGGAATCCAGTTACCCCCATGGAGTTTGTCACGCATGGCCATGGTGAATCTGTCCGAGTGTGGCGAGTATCGATCGACGGCGAAAGCGTGGTTGTGAGGATGCTTTGGGGATTTAACAAAAGAATCCTTTGTGCCGAGGGTCTTATCTCTAAGGACGCGACAGATCTGAGCCCGATGAACCAGAAGCTGCTAGTCCAGCGCGGTGCCGTCGACAGTTCTTTGGTCCATGAGGGAGAAGGATCAGGCGCGTAGGGCCTGCTAGTTTCCTTGTTCCAACCAACACTCACCATAACCTTTTCCTTTTCAAACTGTGAATCCTGAGAACATTACAAATAGCCATTAAATGTATTGTATTTTTTGAACCATTGTTGTTGTTGTTTTTGTTGTTGTTGTTCGTTGTTGTAGTTGAAGTTGTAGTCATTTTTTTTATTTTTTTCGGTGAATCTCTTGAGTATTCGGGCAATGCAGGAGGATTAATGCTCACCATTTGCTGACTATTCGTCTTGCTCAAGCAACCACCTTGGCCATATCCCTCGCTATCCTCAGAGCCGCTACCCTCCTTAAGGTCGTTAATAGAACCAATAATGACCCACTCGTTTAACTCAGACTCCAACTCTGACCCTACCGAGGTGTCGAATGAGAAAGCGCAGTGCGGGTAAGAAGATCTTTCCTGGGTCCGTTGGCCATGATCCACTCTGACTCCTTATCACGGTCAATGTACATCTCCGTACCTGTTACACCCAATATGCGCCGCTCCATGAGATCTCCAAGAAGGTCTATTCCCCTGTCGAGCGACAATGCGAGGCAATCGTAGTATTGGCACTCTTCAAAAGGAGTTCCCTGACGATTCCTAGCTCCAACTGCTCTTGGAGATCCCAATGCCGAGACCCACCTCTCTCAGCCTTGTCAAGCGACTGTTGTGCACAGACTGCACATTGGAGATCCATACTCTCTTGGTGCATATCTTTGTAGGTGTAGTCTGTCGCGGACCTGCCGGCAATGGCTCGCGTGATGTCCGCATACGCCTAGACATCAACACCGTTGTATCGCTTGTTATTTTCCAGTGGTGTTCACGTCGCGTCCACTGTCCACTCTTGGTCTCGATAGTCGGTACGGCACCAAATTTGAGGGTGGAACAAGATCCACTAGGCTTGGTAAAGGCGAGCACAGCGGGCAAAGTCGTCAAGGAGAGTTGTGTCGCGATAATTTCTCGGAAATCTTGAGGGTGGTCGACGAGAGACGGTGGTCCCGCCATATTTAGTGCGCCTGTGCGCCTAAAAAAAAGAGCGGTGAAGTACGAAAGAAAGGAAGAAAGGTTTATTGGAAAATGCAAAATATAAATGAAATTGAAAATATATTATTGGTGGGCTCGCCGTCTGCCTGGAGGTTCTCGCGGTGAAGAACCCGCATCCCAGGGCACACAGCGAGGACGTTGCGGATCCTTGGTGCCCCCAAAAAAAGTTGCTCTCACGTATACCATAAAAAGCCACCCCTCATTGGTCCCCTCTTCTCATTTTATCTCTCTCATGTGCCTTCACGGTTCTTCACGTCTGGCACCAGCAAAGATCTACAATAGTATTGCATTCATCTAGCCTCCGTCTTGTTATGTCTTCCTGAGTCTGGGTGCCAGCTTGGCTTTCTTCCCTTTGATTTGTTTTTCTGTGATGGGCAGGAACATGCATGAGAATGCGTTATTCGCCCTCTCCGCCTTTTTTTTTCTTTCGCTAACGAGCGTACTGTTTGTTTACCAAATATGTAGGCGTCGTGGGTTCGCAGCCATCATCGCTGTTGCAGGAAGGCTTACGAGGACTCATCATCTCGCCCGTCACCACATTCTTCCTAAAGATCGGATATTGCTGGGCAGTCCGAACCATGGCGATCGTCCGCGTCGTCATCCTCATCCCTGCATCAGCACTATTCAAGGCCGGTGTCGAGCCTGGAAAGGATCGCGCGAAACGACTAAAGTAGGAACAATCGGCTGCGACCAGCGAGAAGGAACTTCAGGAGTTGAAGGATGCGGCGGTGAGGGTTCCGAAACCGAAGCGACAGGTCATGGATTTCACAGTGCTAAAGGAAGTTCGGCTATTGATCCTTGTTGTCCTTTCTTTCTTTGTTTTGCTAATGGATACTTTAATCCCTACTACTTCCTCCCAAGGTAACATCGACACTGTCTCATGCTCTTTTTTTCTTGTCGCGGCGGGCATTCTTTTGTGTGACCCTAGTTACTGGTTTTCCTAATGGATACTTTTCATATATTTTTTTTCGCTCTAGCCTATGCACAAAAGAACGGAGTGTCAGTGTCGACAGCCTCACTGCTGATCGGTATTCTGAACGGACCGAGTGCACTCGGACGAGTGTCGGGTCTGGCGAGCGACGACATCGGTGATATCAACACGCTCCTCATCTCGACCAATTGCGTTTCGCTGAGTATCCTGATCGTATGGATATTTACCGGCACATCCGTCCCCATGATGACTACCTCCTGTATCCTCTACGGTTTCTTCTCTGACTCCTTTGTTCGCCATCGTCTCCACCGTCGCCGCTCATCTCTATGGTACGTAATCTAACTCGATACATTTGTGATGCACTAGTCTCTTGATATTTGGCTACCACGCTACTCACTCTCGACAGGGTATTTTTTTTCAGTATTTATTGCTCGGCGAGTATGATGCGAATCGTGTATGGAGGCATTGCAGTCGGAACGTTGATCGGCTCACCTGTCGGGGGGCGCATTATTGGATATCAGTCAAGGGATCAACCGCCGTCTACTGCAGCTCTGGGTTGGCTTTGTCATGGCTGTCAGCGTCGTTTCGACCGTCGTCCTCAAGTTCGTGAAGAACTCCAAGCCATAAATGAAGGTGTAGAAAGGTGTGAGTACCCAAATTTAAACACAGGGATTAGAGAAGCATATACATCTGCACACCACACTAAATATTTCTAATTAATACAGCCCCATAATTCAAAAGAAAGCAGAATAGACGCGTAGTATATGTACAGTGCTTGTGGCATGTGCAAAAAAGGGGTAGGGGGGAGATGATGAGCTTTAATTATTTATATAGTCGGCGTTACGCGTTCTCTCCTTTCGAATCGAGCAGGTCCTGTAGTTTACGCAACATCTGCTGTTGCTCCATCATTACACGCCCAATATCCTGGTTCTGTGCCTGTATATACGTAATCTGCTGCCTCAAACCCAGTCCATCCATACCACCACCTCCTCCTCCACCAGCACCACTGCTAACGACCGCGACATTCGTTCCGTCACCCTGAGGACCATTACGCCGCTGTGAGTATGCCTCACACTCCTGGCCGATTGCAGTCGGGTTCATAGGTTGGTATTGGAGGTCGTGAGGCTTCTTTGTTGCTGTCGGCGTGTATTCTTGAGGGTTCCGAGGTCCGAAGAAGTCGGAATTGCGACGGTTGTTGTCCTTGTCGATATTGGAGCCGTAGGCAAACGGTTCATTGTCCTCAATACCGCCATTGTCGGCATAGACGTTTTGCCCTTGTGGGCTGCGGAGGAGTAGGAATCCATTTGGCCGGGGTGGTTGTCAGAGGATACGAGAGGTTCGGTCCGGACGATGGGTTCCATGCCATTGTACTCGAGTTGGATGCTTACAGGATATGGTTGCAGCGGAGGTGGAGATGAAACGGACCAAGGTTGGTTGGGCGGATAAGGTGGAAACTCAATGTCGCGTCGGGTAGCAGAAGGAGGAGTAGGAGGGGCAGGAGGAGCAGAACCGTCTAATGGCGTCGCGGAGGAATCCGGTGCATGTCCACTCTTGGAGTTGACCTGCTTGCGTCTCCGGTAAAAGAGGAACACCAAAAGCCTCAAGATGACTGCATCGCCCGCTACTCCTTTGCCTATCGCCGCTGCGTTGGAACCTGAAGAAGGAGAGGTGTTCGGTGTTGGGTTTGTGGGTCCTGGAATTGGACCAGACGTTGTCGATGATCTTGGTGTTGGCGGCCCGTCAGTTGGTAAGATGGGCGAGAACCGGTTGACCCACTTGTCTTCCCTAATGTTGTAGATCAATGGTACGCTACTCAGCAGCACAGTAAGGTCCCTGTTGCCTACTTTGCACATATACGGAACACAAAAAAACGCTAGTCAGCAAAAACACAGGAACAAACGAAAGAGAGAACGAGAAAGTGACGGAGAGTTTTCGTGTAGAATAGTGAAACTAAGTGTGAAGTGGTCAAGCATACCTCCCTAGACGATAAAGTAGTCGCCCCCGATGGTGCAGGCCATGTCGCAGCGTGTATCCTTTTCGGACGCAGATGTTCCTTGAGTCCAGGATGAAGATGTCAGGCCTTGAGTGCACGTCGACATCACATCCTCCAAAGACCACCATTTTGGCTCCATTGTACGCTATGCATGTATGTATTCGTTTTCGAAATCGTAAAAAAAGTTAGCGAAAGAAAGGGACAACAAGGCCAAGAAGGAGTAAGAATTGCAAAGAAGAAAAATGATTTCGCTCAGTGGTGGACCATCAGCTTTTTTTTTTTTTGGGCTCTTGGGCCGTGTTGTTCTACTTCTCTCTCTCTCTCTCTCTTTTCCAATGTACCCGGTATCATGCAGTGACCCCCTGGTGAACGGCCAGAAGTTGTCTGTGAAGAAAAAGAGGAAAGAAAAAGAGATACTGCGGAGTAAATAGACAATCAGCATCTATTTTTTCGTGTATCTATACAGAAAATCATGTAATTGAATGTAACAGCAGCAGCAGCAACACTAAAAAAAGAAAACAAGAAAAAAACAAGAAAGCGATTTCTTAGCACATTACTCCATTGACCATTATCGAACTGGCGAAGAACAGGGTTAAACTGATTATTATCAGAATGTCCACCATAGAGCAGCATCTCAGAACGTAGAGTTGACCAGACAAAAGTGTAATGAGAAAGACCGGCAATTTCGGCCAGCATAGTGGACATCGTGAAGGTGTAGAACGACGTTGCCGTGATCGGAGGAACCATCTCAATCGTGTGCATTCCCTCATTTCGTGCACTAAGGACAATGATCATTCTAGTAACTTGGTTCACTGCGCTCTGGAGCCCATTCATCCTGCGGTCTTTCGGGACAGGATAAGTTGGGGTCCATGAAGCGGTGTGTAAGTTGAGGGCTGAAAAAGAGCCTCCGTAAGATGAGTCCCACATGAAGACTTGTTGCTGATCCTTGGTGACCGACAAAGAATGCTAAGCAATAGTGGTGACGTTGCGCCTCACAGCTCTGGAGTCGCTCCAGGAGACAGTCAGATCCAGGGCGAACATCTGGTTGGTGAGAGCGTCTGGGGGTCCTGTACCCTGAGACGGAGCACGATAGGCGAAACCACCATGGATATAGAACATGCTCTCGTCAGCGGTCGCAAACCCATGCTGGAGGTTATGATAGGAGGAATTTGGGCCGAGATAATGGAGGGTAGGAATCCTGCGAGGACTGTAGTGGCGGTGAGTCAAAGGGTGTTGGAGCGTTGGGTTGTTGTATGGTTTGGAGGAAGGGGTTTGGCAGTGCTGCTGTTGCTGGTTGTGGAGGGAGTAGATCGAGGGTGGGGAAAACAGATCAGGAAAATATTCAACGGCGAAAGTAGTACACAAGGCGCTATGGGTGCTATGCTATCAACTATGCTTTCATCCTTCCATTCCTCGCATAGATAGTCAATCATGTTGCCATGCATTGCATTGTTTTGCCACGCTAATCATGGTGCACATTCGCAAGGAGATCATGTGATTACTACAGTTTCCTTTTCTGGGTCAACCAGTCTCGCACATGAATACAGCTTGTAACTTCTCCTCTTCGATAATCCACCGCCCGTCTTTATTTCTCACATCACTGAATCCACCAGCGCCAGGTCACTTCGGTGATCACCGCAACACATTCTTCTTCCTTCACCTTTGTTCACCAGCACAACTTCTGATTCCAACCAAGCTACTTACATTCACACACCCAACAGTCATCATCAGCAACAGCCATCAGTCAGACAAAAGTTACAATTATCTCAACTGATCACCTTGCATCCACAACAA